AAAAAAATATATATATAAAATAACAACGTATTTGCAGCTGTTCTGAAACGACTTAACGACTCCTCATCAACAGTACGACCTTCTCCCTGTTTGAGATAGCAAGAAATGAAAAGACGATAGCGCTTTTTCATGTAAAATAGAGAACGGTAATTGAGGACGTAGTAAGCAATAATTGAAAGGAAAACGATGTCCTTACTTATTCAGCCATTGCTTGGCGCAACGAGGCCAGGATGCTCCTGATTAAACGCATGGACAATGGGTTTGTGTTTATTTTTTTCTCTCACTGTCAGGAAATCGGAGCACAGACGACAAATCGTGGTGCAAAATACTAGAGGAGCAGTAGTTATCCACTGACTGCTCACCTGGCGTTTGGTCAGACGCGTGGTGCTTGCCTAGCTTTACTGATGTTGATTTTCAATTTGTGCTGACACAGTTGGTGCATGACTTTGACCCCAGACAAACACGGTTGCAGCTGTAACCCCGAGAAGAGCCTTGCGTCATTTTTGTCTACGCCAATGATCCGATCTATCACACCACAGATGCTGAGTTAAGGGGAAGTGGCTAATGTAAATACCAAAACTCAGTTCCAACCATTTTGTTGCTACTTTTTAAAAGACTTTATTATTGATTTAGTATACATGTACATGTATCACGACCATAATGACCCAGTAGTTGAAGGTTTGATTTTCTACTGATTTAATGGCTGAACGCAGCTTATACGAGAGTGGCGTATACTGTTCTATAAAATTGCTGTATATTTTGTTTTCACTAATGATTAAGGGTCATAAAATTGTGCATTAATAATTAGGCCTACTTAATCAAAATTATGGAATAAACTTAAGGATGAAGGTCTAAAAATCGTATGAGTCTATTATTTTGACGTTAAAAGTTCCAGGACAATACAAAAAAATGTTGGTCCCGTGACTTTAATAGGTAGATCTAACCGTAATGGATTACACGTTTTTCTTTAACAATGTTTTGTTTATTTGTTTTTAACGTCACGTGAACACTTATAGGATTCTAAGTCATATTATAATAATAGTTTCATTCCTACCATCGCTTCGTACGTCTTCAGAAATTTTCCTCAATTCTGCGTTCACGTTCACATAATTTCTGTTGCTGTACTACTAGGGACTCGGAGCTCTTCTTGTTATATACACATACATGTAACATGTTCCTTTATTTAATGGCAGTTATTCGAGAGCTTCAACATCCATATTAGTTTTTGTGACAGTAACCTACAGCACACGTAGAAACAGCGCTCAAATAACATGCTACACACACAATGGAATGTGTTGAGCCTGTGTGTCATTTTGGGGCCTGAGAGGGGCGAGACATTTTCATTTAGTGCACCACGCTGCAAGATTATTGGGGCCTCCATATGTGGCCTCTGTGGGACGAGGAATTGGCCAGTAAGGGACGTCCGTCCACTCTGTCTGCCACAGCGTAAACCTCTATTTCGTTTTAGTTTTTGAAAGAGTTTTACAACACTTGCAACACAATAAGGTCATATATAAGTGTCGAGGAATAAATGTGTCACAAGAGTAATTTAACCCTATCCGTACGTCGTGTTTTACTATCATATCCATATGACGTGGGGAACTCTGTGCCAGTACTTTCCAAGGAAGAAATTACTCGTTAATCCAATCCGTACGCTTTGCTTAGCAGTCTGTCAAAACGATTTTTTGAGAAATATTGAAAGTTTCAAAGATATCTTCGTACTAGAAGTATTCTATAATGTGAAGAATACAACCCCGGGGGTACAAAATGACCCCAAGGCGTACGGATAGGGTTAACATTCACAAAAAAGGAGGAGAGATAAGCCTAAGGACGATAGATGTTTAACAGGAAAGAAGGCGCATAAACCATACCAATGCACACACCAACCACCCTCTAAACCTCTATTTCTTGTTGCCTCAAACTTGATCGCTGCAAAAAGTGGCGGCCAAGTAAGTACCGTTTTCACATCTCTCTGAACTGGATTAGGATATTCCCGATTTTGCACCACAGTGAGTTGATGTGTTCAATACTGAACCGGAAAGAACCCCCAGCTTCCATCTTGCCAATCTGCCGTTGTAAACAACAATCTATATGGCTCTTTTCGTCTAAGCAGACGGTCAATTTAGCTAAAGATGGTCTCAAGGTTGTCTTCATGCAGCTTTTTTCATGGCTAATTCTTCCTATGTTTGAAGCGCAGATTCTGTTGCAGTGCTTGCATGTTAGTGTCGTAGATCGACGCTCTGACTCTGTATTTCCGCTGTTTTCCTTTCGTCGTTGGCGCTTCTCAGCCTGGTTGTTTCTAAGGCTGTTCTCTAGCATTTTAGTTCTTTCCTTTATAATATTTCTCCATGTTTTCCGGTCCTCAGCTATTTCTTCCCTGGTGTTAACATCTACTGCAAGCTTAGATAAGCTGTTTTTGCAGGTGTCTTTGTACTCTCCATAGAGAAGTTGCTTCGGGATACGGTTGTCATCCATTCTCTTGACATGGCCAAGCCATCTCAATCTTTTTAAACACAGGATAGTTTTCATGTTCTGGAGGTTTGCCCGTGCCAACACTTCAACATTTGTAACCTTGTCACGCCACGAAATGCCTAAGATCTTGCGGCAGCCTCTGAGATGGAAAATGTCGAGGCGCTTTTCTTGTCTGCTGTACAAGTACAAGGTCTATGTTTCAGATTCATAAAGGAGTGTGCTGAGGACACATGCTCCGTAAATCTTGATCTTTGTTTTGATGGTCAATCTTTTGTTTTCTCATGCTCGTTTTGTCAGCAATCTACAATCTACAACGCTTGTAAAACATCTCACCCAGTTTTTTCCGCGCCAGTTTACACAGCCACATTTTGTTTCAATCATCCTACACCCTTTTGAAGCTTCAACTTCAACATGTCTTCCAAGATTGAAAATTATGCTGACAGTGACAGTGAAATTCGGTCTGTTATTCGTTTTCTGGCTGCAAAGAACAGAAAGCTTAACGACACTCATAGCACTCATATTTCAGAAGTGTATGGTGAAAAGGCAATGGGCGAAAGCATGGTGCGAAAATGGGTTCGCGTGTTCAAACAGGGACGAGACAATGTGCTTGATGAACCCAGGAGTGGGTGTCCATCTTTGATCAGTGATGATTTGATGAATAAAGTTGACATTAAGGTAAAGGAAGACGAGCGTTTTACCCTTTCCTGGCTGTCTTCAAACTTTCCTGAGATTTCAAGGTCGCTTCTGCTTGAAATCGTTACTGACCATTTGGGTTATCGAAAGGTGTGCTCACGCTGGGTACCCAAGCAGCTGACACAAGCGCAGCAGGATCAACGGGCTGCCAGCGCATTGGCATTCCTGACGACACGTTACAATGACTAAGGAGAAGGCTTTCTTACTCATAATACATTGTATTATACTCATAATACATTGTATTATACTCATAACATAATACATCATATTATGACGGGGATGAAACCTGGTTGCACCACTCGACGCCCGAGTCAAAGCAGCAGTCGATGCAGTGGAAGCATACGGACTCTCCCCAGCCAAAAACGTTCAAGCAGGCTGCGTCAGGGGAAAAAAGTCATGTGTACTGTGTTTTGGGACAGGCAAGGAGTTCTTTTAGTTTATTAGAATTTTTAGAAAATGGGATGACAATTAACTCTGATGTGTACTGCAACACAACACTGTGCAGAGCGATTCAAAACAAAAAACGCGGAATGCTTAGCAACCGCGTTGTTCTGCTTCACGACAATGCAAATCCTCTCAAGTCTGCACCAGTGATAGTGGGTGGACCCAAATTTGGGTGGGGCTTCGGTTGCTTCCCCTCCCTTACCACCAAATAGCGAGCAATAAGAGCAAAACGGTGATAATGTTTCTATACTCACGGCGAGTCACGGCATTTTGAGAATCATTCAAAAGAGGCGAGTCACCTTTGTTGTTTTCCATCTCTTTGTTTAAATTTAAATTCTTCTGGACGATGGGGACGTAGCCGTTTCACCTCCAAATTTCTCTAATTCATTTTCTACTATGATAAAGTTGCCTCAAAAGTGATTTGATATAATTAATAACTGTTCAATCTCAGCAGCATACACACAAACATGCACACAAAGCACTCCAAACATACACCGTCTATGAACTGGATTAGGCCATGCAGTCGCGGAAAGTACAACGCATATATACATGTATAACAATGAACGCATAGGTAACTGTGTCACTGGGGGAAAGTGTGTCGTAATTTGATTCGTAAACCTTCACCCCATTGTCTGGGCTAGGAGAGCGTGAGCCCTCTTAGCAGTGTTATTTGTTTCAAGTCTTCTACCTTTTTACAAGACGGGTTTCGTTTATAGAGGGGCCGTGGGAACGGGCTCGTCTTTTGATGAGCCCTAGAGTAATTTGATTGGCTGCTGTTATGTTACTATAGTTGTAAACGGTGACAAAAGTGATCGGATAAACGAGCAAGCCGCCAAGTCGATTACATGTACTCTGTGTTCATTGCGTGCTATCACAACGGTTTCAACTGCTCATTTCGTTACATATATTTTCATTTGCTTTGGGAT